GTGTGAAAGCCTGTGCACTGGCGACCAGTGCGGGGACCTGCGCGAATGATATAGGGGCAGCGACCAGGACCCCCAGACGCCCCACGCCCGGCATACCAGTCATGAAGCTACTGGGAAGTGGGAGTCTGGCGCTGACGCTGCTGCTGCTGCTGCTACCCCTGGCCACCACTGGTCTCACCCAAGCCCCCACCACTGCCGCCACCACCACTCCCCCCTCCGCCACCACCGCCGCCGCCACCGCCACTGCTCCCGGCAGCACCACCGCTCCCACCACCACCTCCACCCCCACGACCACCCCCACCACCTCCACCTCCCCCGCCGCCTCCACCACCGCCCCCTCCACCGCCACGTCCGCCACCCCTGTCACCCGTGCCTCCCCTGGAGCCGCTGCGCTTCCCACTAGGAGCGGAAGCAGCTGCGACCTTCTCAGCACCAAGGAGGTCGACAGCAGCAGCTGCGGAGGCGTAGGAGGGGGTAAGAGGGGAGGGGGAGCACCCCTCAAAGAGGGGAGTGCGAGGAGTACCACGAGCAGCACCTACAGCGAGGATGTTCTTCTCTGCTGCTAGGAGGTGCTTCTCGAGGTCGGCGACAGTGAGAGTGGTAGGGTCTAGGGCTAGGAAGTGGTCCCTGACGGAGCTAAGAGTGTCAGGGAGGCGGGTGATGAGGAAATAGAGAGTGAAGTACATCGGGGGGGGGGGGGGGGGGGGGGGTTCTCGGCGCAGATTTCGGCTGGAAGGGCGGCACGAAAGCGAGTGTCACTAGTGCGAAGGAGAGAAATGAGGTCCTCAGCAGTGGTAAACGAGGACAGGTCTGGGAACAGGTAGGGTAGCATGAGCCGACCTAGGGCTGTAGTGGCCGGGAGGAGTAGCGCGCAACTACAGCGTCATACAGTGCCTTAGTAGTTTTGTGCTGGCTGAAATGCGCGCGCTCAGTGATCGGCAGATGATTTCGAATAGGTAGGCGTGCAGCAGCATCGCGAGTCTGCCACTGTGAGCGTTCGAGAGCGGTAGCATCGTCAGCAGGAGCAACGGCAGTGCCAGACACGAATCAAACAGTGAAACGCCGTCTTTGGCATCAGTCAGAAGAAACAGTTGGAGATCGTCGAGCCACGTGGCGAACTCTATCGGGCGACCGTCAGGCTCAAACGCGAGAACATTAAGTGTCCCCATAATCGCAGTGCAGGCAAAGGCAGTAGGCAAAGGCAGTAGGCAGCAGGCAGCAGGCAAAGGGCGCGAGCAGCAAGGGCGGCGCTCAAAGCAGGCGCAGGCAGCTCAGGCAACGCGCGGGGCAGCAGCAGGCCGCGCGCAGGCTGCAGAGGCGCGGCTCGAGCAGGTAGGGCGGCGCGGGGGGCTGCGGAGGGCCGCGCGCGGGCTGTCAGAGCGCGGCGCGGGCTGTGCGGACGGTGTGCGGGGCAGCTGCGGGCCGCGTGCGCGCTGCGCGGGCTCGGCGCGGGCTGCGCGAGCGGTGCGCGGGGCAGCTGCGGGCCGCGCGCGCGCTGCGCGGGCTCGACGCGGGCTGCGCGGGCGGTGCGCGGGGCGCGACGCGGCTACCGAGGCGCGACGCGAGCAGGGAGGGCGACGCGCGGGGCAAAAGGGGGGAGCGCGCGGGAATTAGGTCTGCGCGCGCGAAGCAGCAGCAGACAGCTCAGACAGCAGACAGAAGGCAGACAGTGCGCGCAGCGCAGCACGTCCTAGGCACAGTTACAGTCACAGTCGTGGGGTAGCGGTAGGTGGGCCCGAAAAAAAAAAACTGCCCTACGGACCTACTGCTCTGAATACCATATCAGAAGTCTAGGCAGGAATGAATGAACTAGGAAAGAGTTGTGTACAAGTATGAAACCCTAAAGGGGCTGTACCCCATATTAGCTACCCCACTACAGCCTAAACATACCGTAAGCCCCCGGATAGAAGCGCAGGCCTCGGATAAGCGCCGGCGCTTATAAAAGGATGACGGCGCTTATATCCGGTCATCGATTATAAGCCCACCCCCTGAAAAAATATGATTTATTACAAGCGCATATTGGTTTTTCATTTGAAAACCTGTCGAAATACAGAAACGAATTTCACATTATCAGGGAAACGACCTACATTTTTTATTTCCCACACTATGATCTCACTTTTTGCACGTCTAGTCAGCATGTGCCGTCATTCTGTCAGTATGAGTTGGCAGGAAAACACTCACTGCCAAGCTGCGCGAGAATCAGATTCGCGACCCTATATGTTTTCGACTCGATTACAATCGACAGAACGGGATCTACAATTTGGTGTAAAACAAATAGAAATTCATATTTGCCATTTTATAAACGCCCGCGCTTATAAATTTCCTCAATTATAAGCGCACCCCCTAAAAAACACTGTTTTTTTATACCCCCAGGGGCGCTTCTATCAGGGGGCTGACGGTATATAGCGGATATAATTTGACAGATTTGAGACAGGGTTGTGGGTGGGTAAAAATCTCTCGCGTGCTGGCAGGGAAAGATTCCCTGCCAGCACATACACTCAAAAGGAGTCAATAGGCGCTTCTAACAGCACATGCTGACTGGACGCGCAGCCTGCAGAGTTTGATTGTGAAGGAAATTCGACTTTCAAGTAAAGCGAGCTTCGTTACAGAAAGATGATAGTTTTTCAAATTTAAAACTAACATGCTCTTATAGTAGATCACTTAAATTTAAGGGGGTGCGCTTATAATTGAGGATCGGCCATATGCGCATTGCTCCAAATAGAAGCGCATGCACTTTTAATAGGCCTGCGCTTATATCCGGGGTGATACGAAGTATTGTCTAGGTACCGTATTCTCCCGGACATAACACCCTAGGGTATAGCTAAAAATACAGGGAAAAAATGGGGGGGGTCTCCTCATAGGAAAAAAATACATAATACCCGGGTCTTTACATATGGCATATCTTAGTGTTAGTGTTTTTTTAATTAGTCAATGTGGGTGTTTTGGTCGTTTTAGCATCACTGCCTGAGGCGCGAATGTGAGTTTCGGCCTCGAACTTCATCGCCCCCACGAAAATGGCATGTGGCACCTCTCTTGCCACTTGCAACGGAAGATTCACCTGCACGTGGCGACAGAGAAATAGTGGGAGGGGGCAAATCTCGGCAGATTGCCTTTGAATGTACCGCGAAATTTCATTGAGGGAGAAATTCACACGACATTCTTCCGTATTGCAGCTACTCGTTAACGACTATAATAATGAATCCGTAAGAAAAGGGGGGGTGTTATAGAAAATCAGCCAAAAAGGGGGGTATAGTAGAAACGAGGTCTATCGTAACACCCACCCCGCACAAGCTACCCGGGGGTGTACAATTATGGGGGGGTGTTTTGTCCGGGAGTATACGGTACAATGATTTGCCGTGTTTCAGTTCAGCACAACAGCAGCAAACGATCTGCTTCATAAAATCTGCCAAGTTTTTAGGAAAAAAGGAGCACTTGAACACGATTTCCTACATACATTACAGATAATCCCTAACACTGTACTAATCGGCATCTCACACATGTTTTTTCAAGTTGGACGAAGAATCAGAAGAATAAACAACATATTGAGCACCAAATAAATAAGGGCAATAGATTCACTTAACCTAGTCACAACGAGCCTCAGGAAGATCAGACACCACGTCATCCGTGAGCGGGGCTTGCTCCTCTTGGTGGTGCAGTGCGGGACTGGACTGGCCCAGCTGCTGCTCGAGCTGGTCCAGGGCGTCTGAGAACTTGAGGTGCGAGTGAGCGGCCGATGCGCGTGGAGTGCCGTGCTGTGCCCCCAGTAAGGCCACTCGCCGCATCTCCCACGAGCAGTCACTAGTGGCTCGCGCCAACGGGGGAGGTCGCCCAAGCAGCCCTCCACCAGCCAGCCCACCAGCACTGCTGCTGCCGCCATCACTTGCCCTGCCACCCGCCCACCCCACGCCTGCCTCTGCCCCTCCTCCCCCCTTGCTGCCCCCCACCGACCCGTCCTCTGCTGCCGCGTGTGTGCGGGGGGGCACGTGCTGCTGCAGCCTCAGCACTGCCAGCCCATGCAGGCCCTTCTCCCCCTCCTCAAACCGCACACGCCGCCTTGCCTTGCCCGCTGCCAACCCTGCTGCTGCCACCTCCCCCCTCAACTCCGCCCCACTGCTCTCCGCACCACCCCCACATGCACCCTCTGCTTCCCCCCCAATCACCGGCATCGGTGCCACCACATCCCGCAACTCGCTCTCCTCCACCCCTTCCTCCTCCTCCTCCCCCGCTGCAACCACCCATTCCTTCTCCTCCTCCTCCCTTCTCCCCACCGTCTCCTCTGTGTCCCCACCCTTGCCTCCCTCTGCCCCCATTGCCGCCTTTCCCTCTGCTGGCGGCCCTTGGGAGCTCCATACCTGCTGAGGGGAGGGGAAGAGAGGCAAAGTTTTAAAAGCTGACAGTTTTTGACCTATTCTCACTCTTCATAAACATGGAGTAGGCCTGATCTACATTGGCAGATACGCCCTGGGCAGGGTTGCGTACCACGTATATACGCTTGCGTATATACGTGGTACGCTAATACGCTCGTATTTCTTGGAAATACGCCCGGGCAGCCCGCCGGAAAAGAAAATTCGAAATTGAAAAATTTCGCGAAGGTTTTGCGACTTCGCGATTTGTTACCGCGCAGTCGCATATCGCCCAACCCACTTCTGAAATTCAAATTTCGAGCTCCAAACCTCCCACCACCCCAACCACACACCACCCCACCAAACCTCTCATCTCCAACCATCCCTCTCAAATGTTGTTCACCAACTCGTCTGCTCATATACTGAATGACGAGTTCCTTTCTGTCATTCAGTTTCCGTAGTCGTTTTCATTCCCGTAGCTCTCTTCTCCCGTTTTTCCTCATGGCGTCTAACTCCACCCCTCCTACTGCGACGAGCAATGTTGCCTCTGTTCACGCGTCTAATAGCGAAATCAATACGGAGCCTGTTGAGGCTGGCCTTTCGAACCCCATTTTGAAACATTTCCTTATTCCGTACCATACCAAAGGCACTCCCAAGATGTGTAAGTTTTGTGACTTCACGTTTGAGGGCGGAACCACTCGCTGCGCGGTTCACCTGGCGAAATGGAAAGGGCAGGGTGGAGGCGCTGTCCGGCTTTGCAAGAAGGTGTCCCCGGCAGTCAGTGAAGAAGTGCGCGGCATGTACAAGGAGAAGGCGGAAAAGCTGGGCGTCAAACGAGGGGCGGCCGCTGCAGCAGTTGACTCCGCGCTGGGCGCGGTCACTGGTTCTTCAGACAAGAAGGGGAAGATTACGTCCTCCTTCGGCGATGAGGCAGCGTGCGCCAAGGAGGACGCGGATAACGCCCTCTGCCTTTTGATCGCGGTGTTGAGACTTCCCGAGCGCATCGCGGACGATCCGGTGTTTCGCTACGTGGTCCAGTGCATTGCGCGCGCTGGACTGGGGTACGTCCCCCCCAATAGGCGCTTCATTGGAGGGGCGGGCTTGAAGAAGGTGCGGCAGAAACTGGAGGAGGCGCTCGCCCCCGTTGCCGCGAGCTGGAAGCGTGACGGGGTCACCGTGTCGTCGGACATGATGACTGACCGTTGTGGCCGCCCGCAGGCCAACTTGAGTGGCATTGGTGCCATGATGGCCTGGTCGCCACTTGTCGTCGTGAACTCCACGTACTGACGGGCTTCACGAGGCTCCTGCGGGCTTAGCGCGACTCCGTTTCTCCCCATGCCCGGCATCGGTTGGGCGGCGCCATCACTGGCTGCGCCTGAGCGCTGTCCCACGCTGTCGTTCTGTGTTGGTGTGCCTGATGAAATGACGATCGGCTCCTCTGATTGTGCAGGTGCATGTGCTGGCGCCGGAATATTCACCGTAGATTGCTGACGTGCGGAGTCACGTTCCACCGTGAGCGTCGCAATTTCGAGCGCCGATTCTTCAACTTGGCGTACCAGACGGTCAAGTTGCTCCTGCGTCAATGTCGCGAGCGTGAATTCGGCCATGGCGGGGGTGTCGGGCAAGCTCAGCGAGAGCCTGTGTCGTGGCCGTGCGTGCTTACGAGAGAGCACTACGAGCGGCGGTGCTGTGTCGCTGAGAGACGTCTACCCCTCCAAAAATTGAGATAGTGGGGAAGCGAAGGTGTGGGTGCGGTCCGAGAAGAGATCGTAGGCTCTGAATACCAAGTGTTACGAGTACAATTGAGTGATCGAGCGAGAATTGCACTATCGAAGCAAGAATACAATGAGCGAAGACATGAGCGAAGAATATATAGCGAAACTACAGTGGTAACGGTAATGGACTGTGGTTGTCGCGCGACGGGCCTGGGACTGAGGTTTGGGGAAATGTCGAAGCGGAGGTCCGGAGCGCGGGTTACCCGCCGAGCCGTGAGGTCGGGGTGCGACATGCGAAGGTGGCGGGAGGATTGTCGATGAGAGGGTTGCGAGTGGTAACGGTGCTGACTGTGGTGCTAGAGTGGTGTACGCGCTGAACGGGGACGCAAAGTAAGGAAAAGGAATTTTCCTTACAGTGTACCCTGATGGACAGGCTGCCAGTTGAGAAGGCATCTACCCTTGATTTCACTGGGCCCACCGTTCCACCGCGCCGTCGAGCGCCCCTTCTCGCGCCGTCGAGCGCCCCTTCTTGCGCCGTCGAGCGCCCCTCCTAGCGCCGTCGAGCGCCCCTTCTAGCGCCGTCGAGCGCCCCTACTAGCGCCGTCGTGCGCCCTAGTGGCCGCCGCTCGTAGGCTGCCCATCGCCCGTAGGCTGCCCGTCGCCTGCCGTCGCCTGTAGGCCGCCCTTACGCTGCCCGTACGCAGCCCGTAGGCCGCGGCCGCCCGTAGGCCGCCAGTACGACGCCCGTAGGACGCTGCCGTCCGTAGGCAGCCCGTAGGCAGCCCGTAGGCAGCCCGTAGGCCGCTCACGCACAGGCCGTGACCCGCGCGCCGCGGCTACTTCACGCCGACGCCTGCAGCCCGCCGGAACCCGTGCGCGTCGCCCCCCCTGCCCCTTCGCGACGCCCTTACGGGACCCGCGAGTCGCCCCCGCCTCATCGCGACGCAGCTGCGGGACCCACGCGTCGCCCCCGCCTCGTCGCGACGCAGCTGCGGGACCCGCGCGTCGCCCCCGCCTCGTCGCGACGCAGCTGCGGGACCCGCGCGTCGCCCCCGCCCCGTCGCGACGCAGCTGCGGGACCCGCGCGTTGCCCCCGCCTCGTCGCGACGCAGCTGCGGGACCCGCACGCGTCGCCCCTGCCTCGTCGCGTCGCCCCCGCGCGCGACCCGCGCGTCGCCCCTGCTCACCGTGGCGCCCTGCTCTACCCCGCGCCCGCCCTTGGGACGGCCGCCCCTGGCCTCTGGAGCAGCTGCACCTACAGCCGCCCCTGGACCCTGGAGCAGCCGCCCCTGCAGCAGCCGCCCCTGGCCACCTGGAGCAGCCACCACAGCAGGAGCCGCCCCTGGACCCTGGAGCAGCCGCCCCTGCAGCAGCCGCCCCTGGCCCCTGGAGCAGCCGCCACTGCAAGAGCCGCCCCTGGCCCCTGGAGCAGCCGCCCCTGCAGCAGCCGTCCCTGGCCCTTGGACCAGCCGCCACTGCAAAAGCCGCCCCTGGCCACTGGAGCAGCCGTCCCTGCAGCAGCCGCCCCTGACCCCTGGAGCAGCTGCCGTCGCGGCCCGGCCCCGCCCTGCAGCAGCTGCCGCGGAGCTCCCTGCCGCGGCCCAGCCCCGCCCTGCAGTTGTAGCGGCCCCGCTGTCGCCACCGTCTTGCGCCTACCGCGCCGACCACTGGTGAGCATTACCCTGCCCGCACTGCTACCACTACTACTGCTGCTACTGCCTCTACTGCTCCTACTGTTACTGCTGTTACTGCCGCTACTGCTGCTACTGCTGCTCCTGGCGTGGCCAGATGCAGCTCCAGGGCCGTGCGCGTGAGTCCCTCACGCCCCAGCAGCTTCGTGAGTGGTACGCTAGTTGGGGCTGTCGGGGTGGCCGTAGTGGTAGTCGCTCTCGAGTGGGTCGTTCGGGAGCTCCTGGTAGTGGACAGGTGCAGCTGTCGTGTCCTCTTTCGCCCCAGCAGCTTCGTGAGTGGTACGCTAGTTGGGGCTGTCGGGGTGGCCGTAGTGGTAGTCGCTCTAGAGTGGGTCAGTCGGGAGCTTCTGGTAGTGGACAGGTGCAGCTACCGTGTCCTCTTTCGCCCCAGCAGCTTCGTGAGTGGTACGCCAGTTGGGGCTGTCGGGGTGGCCGTAGTGGTAGTCGCTCTGGAGTGCGTCGTTCGGGAGCTTCTGGTAGTGGACAGGTGCAGCTGCCGTGTCCTGTGAGTGAGGCTGCCGCTCTAGGTGCTAGTGCGTCTGTTGCCCTAGGTGCTGGTGAGGCTACCACTCCCGGTACTCGCGTGTCTGCTACCCCAGGTGCTGGTGAGGCTGCTGCTCTAGGTGCTAGTGAGTCTGCCCCCCCTGGTACTGAGTCGACTGAGGCACTGCACACCTTCACACTGGACTCAGGTGCTTCTCGCTGTTTCTTTCGTGACCGCACTACCCTTGAGCCGCTTGCTCGGCCAGTTGCTGTCTCTCTTGCTGACCCCTCTGGGGGTCCGGTCATTGCGACCTCCTCCACTGTCCTTCCTTGTCCTGCGGTCCCGTCGGGCACACTGTCAGGTCTCCACCTCCCCTCGTTCTCTACGAACTTGGTGGCAGGTTGTGCGCTCCAGGACGGGGGTGTCCACCAGTTCACCCCTGCCTACGAGCGCGTGACACACTGCACGTGTGCTCGGACGGGCCGTCACCTGGCTACCTTCACTCGGCAGCCGGGGTCGGACCTGTACACACTGACCACTGAGTCCCCTCAGGTAGCTGCGTCTGCGTCTGCGTCAGGTCAGCTGTCGGCCCCCTGCTCGTGTCGCTCTCTGGCGCACGAGACCGTCCTCTGGCACCACCGACTTGGTCACCCGTCCGTGCAGCGCCTTCGTGCCATGCACAAACGGTACCTTGTCTCTGGTCTTCCCAGGGTTCTCCCTCCCCTCCCACCCTCGCCTGCTCCTCCCTGTCTTCCCTGTGTCGAGGGGCGGCAGCGCGCCGCTCCTCACTCCTCCTCGTTTCCCCCGACGACTGCTCCCTTGCAGACGCTCTTCATGGACGTGTGGGGCCCAGCCCGCGTCCGTGGTCAGGGTCAGGAGAGGTACTTCCTGATAGTTGTTGACGACTACTCGCGCTACACCACGGTCTTCCCCTTGCGCACCAAGGGTGAGGTCCCTGATGTTTTGATCCCTTGGATCCGCGCTTCTCGTCTCCAGCTCAGCGAGCGTTTCCACTCGGACTTTCCTGTCCTGCGCTTGCACTCTGACAGAGGTGGTGAGTTCTCCTCCGACCTCTTGGCAGCCTACTGTGCGGAGCACGGCATTCGCCAGTCGTTCACGCTTCCGGCCTCTCCACAGCAGAATGGGGTTGCTGAGCGCCGCATTGGCTTGGTCATGGAGGTCGCTCGTACCTCCTTGATCCATGCGGCTGCCCCCCACTTTCTGTGGCCGTTTGCGGTCCGCTACGCTGCGCATCAGCTCAACCTTTGGCCCCGTGTCTCCGTTCCGGAGACTTCGCCGACACTGCGTTGGACGGGAGAGGTTGGCGATGCGTCACGCTTTTGGGTCTGGGGATCTCGAGCTTTTGTCCGCGATACGTCTGCGGACAAGCTCTCCTCCCGCGCTGTTCCTTGTGTCTTCCTTGGCTTTGTCCCGGACGCGTCTGGTTGGCAGTTTTACCACCCCACCTCGCGCAGTGTCCTGCCTTCTCAGGACGTCACGTTCGACGAGTCCGTCCCCTACTACCGCCTCTTCCCCTACCGCACTGCCCCGCTTCCCCCCCCGCCTCTCTTCCTCGCGCCAGGTGCTGCTGTGATAGACCCCCTCCCCCCTCAGGGTGCCGCTCCCTCAGGTGTGTCCCAGGTAGACCCGGTTGAGCCTGTCGAGGTAGCTGTCGACTCTCGTCCTGCTGAGGGTGCTGAGCCTGAGCGTGCGGAGCCTGGGGGTGCGGAGCCTGGGTGTGCGGAGCCTGGGGGTGCGGAGTCTGGGGGTGCGGAGCCTGCGGGTGCTGAGTCTGGGGGTGCTGAGTCTGGAGGTGCTGCGCCTGGGAGTGCTACACCTGGAGGAGCTCTCTCCTCACAGCAGCTGCGTGAGTGGTACTTACAGTACTGCAGCCTCAGGAGAGGTGCTTCTGGAGCTAGGAGTACTGCTGGAGCTGGGGCTAGTGCTTCCCCTCCTCGGCGGGAGCTACCCTCTCCCCAACGGCTCCGAGAGTGGTACGCACGGCGCTGCAGTCTCCGGAGTGGCGCTCCTAGTGTCGCGGACCCTGGAGCTGGAGGTGCTGCTGCTGCTGGCGGTGCTGCTGGTGCTAGTGGAGGTGCTGCTGGTGCTGGAGCTGCTGGAGGTGCTGCTGCTGGCGGTGCTGCTGGCGCTGCTGGAGGTACTGCTGGTGCTGGAGCTGCTGGAGCTGCTGGAGGTGCTGCTGCTACTGGTGGTGCTGCTGGTGCTGCTGGAGTTGCTGGAGGTGCTGCTGGTGCTGTTGCTGTTGGAGTTGCTGGAGGTACTGCTACTCCTGGAGGTGCTGCTGGTGCTGCGGACCCTGGAGTTGGAGCTGCGGCTGGTGCTGCGGACCCGGGCGTTGGAGCTGCTGCTGGTGCTGCGGACCCCGGAGTTGGAGCTGCTGCTGGTGCTGCGGACCCTGGAGTTGGAGCTGCTGCTGGTGCTGAGGACCCTGGAGTTGGTGCTGCTGCTGCTGCTGACGACCCTGGCGCTGGTGTCTCTGCTGGTTCTGGAGACGCTGCGCGGCCGCGGCCGTACTTCGTTCCGCTCCTTCAGCAGGTTCTTGGTCAGCCTCCTCCTCCTTGTCCTCCTCCCTCCTTAGAGTGTCCTCCGTCTGTCCAGTCGCAGTCACAGTTACCGTCTGCCTCCCCTCTCCCTGGTCCTTCTCCTTACACTGGTCCGACTGGAGGTCTTACGGAGCGTCGTGAGCCTGAGTCTCGTCCTGCGTCGCCTGAGTCTCGTCGAGCGTCGCCTGTTCGTGCTGCTCACACTGGTCGTCGTGTCCCGCGTCAGCGTCCTCCTGCTGTCCCAGGCACTCACCAGATGGCGCTTCGTCCTTCCACTGCTCCCCAGCGTGTCCCTCTCCCGTCTCCTCCTGCGTCCTCTCTTCCTGCTCTTGCTGACCCTGAGTCTGACTCCCTTCGTGCTGCCAGTCCTACTGTCACGCGTCTCCTGGCTACTGTTATCACTGACCCTTCCTTTGAGTCCACTGCTGCGTCTGCCTTAGTTGCCGAGCTTGTCGACTTTGCTGCCGCTTGTCGTCTAGACTACGCCGCTAGCCTAGTTGCTGAGTCTGAGTCTGTCTGTCCTCCGTTCGTCGGGGGTGAGTATGCTCTTGGCACGGACGTCCTTGAGGACAGGCAGGAGGAGTTTGAGTGCTTTGCCGCTGCTTTACCTCATCTCGTGTCCATGCTAGTTGCCCCTGAGGGAGACCCGGATGCACCAGACATCCCGACTCCGGGCTCTTACGCAGAGGCGATAGAGGGTCCCTACTCCTCTCAGTGGCAGACAGCCATGGACGCAGAGATGGCTTCCTGGAAGTCCACAGGCACCTACGTCGACGAGGTTCCCCCACCTGGGGCGAACATCGTCAGTGGCATGTGGATTTTCAGGGTGAAGCGGCCGTCGGGTTCTCCGCCTGTCTTCAAGGCGCGTTACGTTGCACGAGGCTTCAGTCAGC